AGATTTGAATTTCTAAAACAGTTAGTATATATTGTAATAATTATATTAGATATAGCTTAAATCAATGGATTATGTGTAATTAAAAACAGTTTTAATATTATATTATGTAAGTTAATTTTCAAAAAAGAAGAATGATAAAAAAAAAGTAAATATATACTTCACTAAATCAAATCAATTTATTATGATGACTTATCATCAGCTGAGTATAAAAGATGGTCAAAGAGTGAATTGCTTCATCAATAGCCATTATTAATATTTTTAATTATCTAATAAATTATCTTTTATAGAATAATTTTTACAAATTTTAAAATTAATGTAGAGGCATAAATAGAACAAATTGCTTTGTTAAAAAAAGTCCAAATATGTTTCAAAAAATAATTGTATTATTTCATACTGTTGTTTTCTTGTTGGGAAAGATTTTTTAAAACTGTTTATGTTTGTACAGTATTTAAATATTTCTATATTAGCACAAACGAGTGAATTAATTTTCTTTCTTTGTTAGTTAAAAGTAAGAGAACATCCAACTACAGGACCATATATACAAGATTTAACAAGTTATGTAGTTACATCCTATAATGATTTATTGGTATGTGTTTTTAATGATATTTATAATTTATTCAGCTAAACAATTTCATTTAATTTTTAATTATTGATAATTTTAATTATACCAGGATTGGATAAATTTAGGAAATAAATATCGAGCTACAGCTATAACAGGAATGAATGATAGAAGCAGTAGATCTCATTCCATATTTACAATTAACTTAATACAAATTAAGGTAATTTTAATAATTTTTAGATTCTCTGTTTAACTCTAGCATATTTTCATTATTTAATTTTAGTATATATTTTATATATCAATATATTGTATTAATAATTGTTTATTATCTTATTGATCATTTTACACTTACCAGTTATCAAAATATTTTAAAGCTATATTGTGATACAAAGACAACAGTCTGGTAAGAATGGGAACAGTAATCAGTAATATGAAAAATTCTGTAGAAAACAATAAGTTTATTAATTGAATAGTAATGCAATTAGCATTATGGCATCTGTGAATGAAGATTATTACATACAGTATTGATTTTTACTATCAGTCTATTTAATATATAATTTAATAATAATATTTTCTGATAAATTTTAATTTTTTAAAATAATTTTATTTCTGATTTATTTTTTTGAGTAGAATGAAACAACAGATGGTGAATGTCATACACATGAAACTACCAGCCATATAAATTTAGTAGACTTAGCTGGAAGTGAAAGAATTGCTAAATCTGAAACATCTGAAGAAAGACTCAAGGTAATGTATTAATACTTAATTATATAGAGAATACCAAACCTCTGCATTATATCCCTCTGTACCTCACTTTGAGGTACAGAGGGATATAATGTGATGACATTGGCATTATGGCATCTGTGAATGAACATTATTACATACAGTATGTATGTATCAGGACAAACCACCAAGCATAGCAGACAATACTGCCTTAGCTGGGAAAAAGCTGATTCAAAAATGTAATGCATATCATTTTAACCACTAAAAAAATTAAATAATTTTGAAAAAGTATAACAAATAGTAAAATGACATGAAATGCTAAGAAATCATCCTTAACACTGAAGAAAATAATATGTGAATCACTTTTAAAATGATTTTTGGATATGCACACAAAATAACATTTAAAAACACTGTACTTGTTTATATATCATTATGAAGCATAAACAAAAAGTCAGTTAATTAGATTGAGTCAAAATAAATCTAAATATTTTTGACTTATTTCTTTAATTATATTTTTGAGTTAACATTGAAAAGATATTAGTCTAATAAAAAACTTAATTCTTTGGCTATGTATATTTCTAAAGTCGTAGTTTGAAAAATACTTGATCAATTTTAATAAAAGTAACACCGTTGCAATCCTTATTTCTTGCCGATTTCAAAAATATATAACACTTGTAGCACAAGACATCATTACTGCAAATATCGCAAATCAAACACAGAGCTGAAAATCCAGCAGCTTAATACTTTCCCTCTCAGTGCCCTCTCCAAATATAAATTCTATGTAATATTCTTAATTGCAAAAAAGTCAAGTCTGGCAATGTTGCTCAGAACTGACTGAAGCGCCACTTGTAATCGTCCAATGCGCCAAGTTTTGGCCACCCCTGGAATAGATGGTCAGTGTAGGCCACACTGACTGACTGCTATTACTACTAATGTCAATAAGTTGTTGTTTTATTGTCTTGTAAATGAAAAATCTTTCTGATTTTAAGTCAGCAAATTACAATGTTATTATTTTATGTGTGCTTGGAAGAGTGTTTTCTTTAATGTTTAATTAACAACTCATTTTGTTAGATCTGATTAATTTTATATTTTAGTCACAGTTTGACAGGCATGCCAGTAACCCTGAAGTTTCCAGCATGCAGGTTTCCTCTGTTTTTATGTCATGCTGGTCATTTCATGAAAATTTGATAATAATAAGTCCAAAAATGTATTTTACAATACAGATTTGAATTTCTAAAACAGTTAGTATATATTGTAATAATTATATTAGATATAGCTTAAACCAATGGATTATGTGTAATTAAAAACAGTTTTAATATTATATTATGTAAGTTAATTTTCAAAAAAGAAGAATGATAAAAAAAAAAGTAAATATATACTTCACTAAATCAAATCAATTTATTATGATGACTTATCATCAGCTGAGTATAAAAGATGGTCAAAGAGTGAATTGCTTCATCAATAGCCATTATTAATATTTTTAATTATCTAATAAATTATCTTTTATAGAATAATTTTTACAAATTTTAAAATTAATGTAGAGGCATAAATAGAACAAATTGCTTTGTTAAAAAAAGTCCAAATATGTTTCAAAAAATAATTGTATTATTTCATACTGTTGTTTTCTTGTTGGGAAAGATTTTTTAAAACTGTTTATGTTTGTACAGTATTTAAATATTTCTATATTAGCACAAACGAGTGAATTAATTTTCTTTCTTTGTTAGTTAAAAGTAAGAGAACATCCAACTACAGGACCATATATACAAGATTTAACAAGTTATGTAGTTACATCCTATAATGATTTATTGGTATGTGTTTTTAATGATATTTATAATTTATTCAGCTAAACAATTTCATTTAATTTTTAATTATTGATAATTTTAATTATACCAGGATTGGATAAATTTAGGAAATAAATATCGAGCTACAGCTATAACAGGAATGAATGATAGAAGCAGTAGATCTCATTCCATATTTACAATTAACTTAATACAAATTAAGGTAATTTTAATAATTTTTAGATTCTCTGTTTAACTCTAGCATATTTTCATTATTTAATTTTAGTATATATTTTATATATCAATATATTGTATTAATAATTGTTTATTATCTTATTGATCATTTTACACTTACCAGTTATCAAAATATTTTAAAGCTATATTGTGATACAAAGACAACAGTCTGGTAAGAATGGGAACAGTAATCAGTAATATGAAAAATTCTGTAGAAAACAATAAGTTTATTAATTGAATAGTAATGCAATTAGCATTATGGCATCTGTGAATGAAGATTATTACATACAGTATTGATTTTTACTATCAGTCTATTTAATATATAATTTAATAATAATATTTTCTGATAAATTTTAATTTTTTAAAATAATTTTATTTCTGATTTATTTTTTTGAGTAGAATGAAACAACAGATGGTGAATGTCATACACATGAAACTACCAGCCATATAAATTTAGTAGACTTAGCTGGAAGTGAAAGAATTGCTAAATCTGAAACATCTGAAGAAAGACTCAAGGTAATGTATTAATACTTAATTATATAGAGAATACCAAACCTCTGCATTATATCCCTCTGTACCTCACTTTGAGGTACAGAGGGATATAATGTGATGACATTGGCATTATGGCATCTGTGAATGAACATTATTACATACAGTATGTATGTATCAGGACAAACCACCAAGCATAGCAGACAATACTGCCTTAGCTGGGAAAAAGCTGATTCAAAAATGTAATGCATATCATTTTAACCACTAAAAAAATTAAATAATTTTGAAAAAGTATAACAAATAGTAAAATGACATGAAATGCTAAGAAATCATCCTTAACACTGAAGAAAATAATATGTGAATCACTTTTAAAATGATTTTTGGATATGCACACAAAATAACATTTAAAAACACTGTACTTGTTTATATATCATTATGAAGCATAAACAAAAAGTCAGTTAATTAGATTGAGTCAAAATAAATTAAATATTTTTGACTTATTTCTTTAATTATATTTTTGAGTTAACATTGAAAAGATATTAGTCTAATAAAAAACTTAATTCTTTGGCTATGTATATTTCTAAAGATATGATGTTTGTAATACCTGCATGTGTAGGAGAAAACTTTTAATTTTTTATATACTTTTTATATCTTAAATTTTCCAATGGTTTACAAAATGGTGACATTTATATTTTGTATATCTAGAACTATGAAAGAAAGCTCAAATTAGTTAGAGATGAATATTGCTTTATAAAAAATAATTGAGCCTATAGTTTAAATAGTGCATTAAAACTGATGATGTTTTTATGTAGTTAATTTGCAAAGTTATTAAATCATAAAATTTGAGACAAAATTGAGTAAGTTCAATTCAGACTTGCAACATGCATATCATATATTTTATCTTCAGAGTTGTTATTTATCCTTACATAATATCTGGAGATAAAGTATATCATGTAAAATTATATGATATTTATTGTAAAAAATTATAATGATTCAAAAGAAAAACTTTTGTATTAAAATAATGTTTCTTAATCATTGACACAAAATTAATTAGTTAAAGTATATACTAAATAATAATACAACTTGTATGTTTTTTTTTCTAAATTTTTTTTCTTTGTCTGAAATGGGAAGATTAAATTCTGAAGACAACCATTTGAAATTTTAATACTGTTTTCATTGACAGTTTTATTGGAAAACCATGAATCAACAAAAGCTCATTTAAAAAGGTTTAACTTATAAACAGCTATTTCTTTTAATGCAACTTCTATAATGGCAACATTCTTTGTAACATATATCTCATCAGCTTTTTCAAATAATGGAAAAGTGTAAATTAATTGGAAAAAATTATTACTTTTTGTTTTTAAGCATTTTTCTATTTTGCTTTTTCATTCATTAATATCTTAAAATCATTGAAAATTGCACAATAAATTAAGCAAAATTTATATTTTAAGAATTCTATCATCAATACTTTTATTATTATTATAATATATTTACAGATATAAAAAACTGCTGATTTAATTTTCAATATTAGTCATCTGTTTTATTTATTTAAATATTATTTTTTATTATTTTAAAAATTATTATATTAACTAGTTGTTCAATTCATTATTATGTGTATGAATTGATTAATTTTTATCATTACAGGAAGGAGTGAATATCAATAAATCTCTGTTAACTTTGGGAAAAGTGATTGCACATTTAGTTGAACGAGGAAGTTCTCAGAATAATGAAGTTGGTTCTAATTTAGCTGCACGAAAACATATATTTGTACCTTACAGAGAAAGTACACTAACATGGCTATTGAAAGATAGTCTTGGAGGAAATTCACGAACAGCTATGTTGGCTACAGTGAGTCCATGCAATACTCATATTGAAGAAACTCTCAGTACGTTAAGATATCCTTTTTTTTTTTTCTATTCTTAAGAATTCATTAAAATTTTTATATTTTATTATATTATATAAGAATTTCTTTAATTCATGTGCACATTTGCCAGACAAACAAGTAAAATTGTTAATGTAGTCAGAATTAATGATGATCCTAAGGCTCGTCTCATTAAAGGTATTACATAATTTATTATTTTTTTATTTATATTTAAATTTATTGCAAAATGTTTATTTACTTAGCTAATATTTTGAAAAATGATTTGCAAAATATATGAATAATTAATTTGACATATATATATCTATATCTTGTTATAACCAATTATTTGTTGTGTGTTACATCATGGATTTATTTAAGTTACAAAAATATTCTCATGACTATCAACAATAATCTAGAATAAAATTTTTCTTGGCAAATAATCCCAAATTATTCACCTCCCAAATTATTAAAATTATATATAATATTTTTATATTTTTCATTTCAATTTGTTTTATGGAAGGAAGTTATTGTTTTATATTTTTTCTTTATTAACATCTTTATTATGTCTTTATCAAAGTGGAGAATGATGCATGTTTCAATTATTAGTATTTCTAATGTATAAAGCATTGGTTATGATATAAAAAATTTTTTATAGTGTATAGAAAAAGTAAACTTCAGTACAAAGCTAAAACTAGCAATATTTGCCAGATGTAATCATTCACTTTTATAACCACTTAAAAGGGATTTTTTTGTATGAATAAACCAAAATGTTCTTCAAATCAAATTTTCATCCAAGTTTAAGAATTACAGGTAACCCCTGTATAACAGCACTTCTATAGCATGGATTCATTCTAACATGGTTCAAGAATTGGGTAAAACCCTCATACAACATGAAATGTACAGTAATAAAAACTATTAAAAGCAAACTTTATCTAATTTGAAATTAGGGAAATCCCTGTACAACAGTTCAATAAACGTGATAAAGCTTTTAAGTGCAAAAGATCTCATTTGACATTTTTCATTCGAGCAATGTACATACTATCAGATTTTCCTGCATAATTTTCATGAACTATTAGTACTTAAGTGTGCAAATTTTCTTTTCCTGCCTTCTGTTGATACACGTGGTTCTTCTTGAAACTTGTTTCAGTTTTGCCATATCTCGACACTTCTGCTTTTGTGTTGCCAGATGTTTTTCCCTTATTCCATACTTACTTTATTCTTCATAAGTGCTTAGCATCATATAAGGAAATTTATAAAGATCTTTTAACTAAAAGCAAGCAATCTAAAATAACATATTTTTTGCAAAACATAGAGCATGGATCTGAAGATAATACAAAAAAAATGCTCAGAGGATAAGGATATCTTGCCAAAAAGAAAACGCCCTCGGTTAATAGTGCTTAGTGATGACAAAGAAAACATTGTTTAATTTATATTAATATGTATCACTTCTTAAGAAAACTTTAATAAAGATATTTATCTTAATTATGAAAATATAATAGCATGTTTTTTAATTTTTGGAACCTAACCCCCCCTTTTCATACTAGTTCTTTGTTTCGTATAACATGGATTCGCATAACATGGCAATTTTTTGGAACACAACTCCCGTGTTATATGGTGTTACCTGTACTCAGGAGACAATTTTATTTCCAGATATTTAAATGCATTTCGGATCGGAGTTTTCGCTGAGTCAAAAATCTCCTTTTAAATGGTTATAAATGTGAGTAAACTTATATTTTTGTGCACAGCTAAATTTATATTAATTTAAAGCTATGCATTAACTATAAATAATATGAATATTTTATTTACTTTATTCTCAAAACTAAATAAATTAAACTGAAAAATACTTCTTAATAGTTATGTTAAATACAATCTAACTAAAATGTCCAAATTTGGACTATTCTTTTGAATAATAAAATTTACAATCTGCTCTTGTTTTATATGGGAGTTGCATGTCAACTGGTACTGCATAAAATGAAATTCCATGTGAATTTGTGCTTCATCCTAAATAAACCTAGATATCTGCATAGACATGCTTGCAATTAACAGATAAATATTAAAATATGATGTTGAAATGTTTTTTTATACTTTTACTATATACTTTGAATTTCATAATAAAAATATTCAATGTGTGCATTAATAGTCCTGCAAACTCAATTTAATGCTGACTGAGGTGACAAGTTACCAAAAATGATGAGTTTTGCAACCTAGCAATGATGCTATGCTAAATAGTGGCATTTTCGTAAAGATATTATATGTGCAAATTCATATATATATATTAACTATGTACAGTACCAAAGAGTGACTATTTCTATTTGCAGTAAAATTTTAATTAAAAGAAAGATTGGTTATTCAGTGACTACTTTTGAGTAAATAACATTTGAGTTATGGTGTTTTGCAATGGCATATTGGGAAAACTTATATTCTTTATTAACACATGGAATTAATGTTGTTATCAAATGTTGCCAGTAAAGAATGATAATTTATTTGATCTAGTGTCAAGTTGTAGAGGAAATTAAACATTAGATTACATGCATTTATTATCTTGAATGATATGATTTTTATGGAATGTTGAGATATTGAGAGTTGAGTTTCTAGGACTCAACTACACTCATTATTACCCCTGTGAATCTGTAGATTAATCTAGCCATTTGTCATCCACAAAAACACAAATCTGTGTATATCGGTCATGTGTTAAAGAAGACCTTACTATACATTTCATGAATAATAATCAATAATTGTGTAATTTCTTTTTAATTTTAAAAGCTTTCTACATAATTATGTAAAATTTGAATTTAACATGTTTAAAATTTTACAAATTAATGTTAAATTTTAACATTAAAATAATATAATAGATTAAAAAAACAGATTTATTGATATACCAAAACTAAGTTCTTGAAATATAAATGTCTTAAATTTTCTTTGTAAGAAGTAAGGTATTTCCATGTATTTGATGGGCATTTTGAATCCTGGGAGTTTATAAGTTTAGGTTCAAGATTCTTCTAATTCAAAGGGATTCAGCAGTTCTGGCATTCTCCTCCAAGATCAGCTTCTCTAATAGTTTACTTTGTTCCAGAAAACTAATGTGTTTGTTGAAAACTTTCCCACAAATGTAATATACATCTTTTTCTAAAGTTTAACCAATGTCTTAGAGAATTCTTTTACTTAATTTCTTTTTAGTTTTAGTATTAATTTATTCTTGTCCCCTTTTAGTGCTCATAAGTCAGAAAAAATTCTAAAAAAAAAATCAATATATTCTAGAAAAATTCAACAATATTATTCGGCTTGATCTATTATTTATCTAACCACCTGAAAGGGGTTTGTGGACTAATAAACAAAAATTATGTCCTAATCCAACTGTTCACCAGAGTTTAAGAATTACCCAGAAGCAATTTTAATTTCTATATGTTTTATTTAAATGCATTTTAGATCCAACTTTTTTGTTGATCTCTTCTCAGTCTACAAAGTATACATTTTTGTTGTAAACTTACAATTAAAACATTTTTTTTAAAAATTGTAAGTCATCTATTTATGTTTAATGTTTACACAAATATTTTACAGTAGGTGCTTTCTACAACAACGATCATGCCAACTATTCACAAACATCTAAAAAACCACTCTAAAATTCTACATAAAACAATAAATATTATCACCAAAAAGACAGAATTAGTATGGGCTCAGTCATAAGACCAAAAAATAGCTCACAAAAATCAGATGATTTGATTACCATTGTTACAGAACAAAATGGCTAATAAAAATCAAATCATTTGATTTTTATTAGCAATATTGTTCTTTATTGTTTGTACCTGATGTCTATTTCATATAGACAACAATGTTAAATTTTTCTTTCCATAGTGCTGGTGTTGGTTTTGTGCTTGGTGTACATTTAAAAAGTATGAAAAAGAATGTACTATGTCTAAGACCATAAATTATAAAACATACCGCCCTCTTGAAATAAAAAAGAACAACTTTATTACAGCATTGAAGAAAATTTACGGACATACAATATATAAAAAGGATAGAATCAATGAAGAAGCAAAGTTAAAGACGATTTTTTACTAAATGACTACCCAAAAACAATAATAGAAAAATCGATAAATGAATACAAAGACAACAGGTACAAGGTTAAATTCAAAAAACAAGAAGTAACACATATGTCTTTTCCTTATATTAAAATAATTTTGAAAAATTCAAAAAAAATTTTAAAAACAATCCATAGAATTAGCAGCTAATTTAAAAAATAAATTTAAAGAATGCATAATTAATAAACAAAATAAATTGGAAAAATCTGGCATAGTATAGTAATGCACATGTGAAAATAAGTGTTCATTGTATTGGAGAAACAGGAAGAATGTTATAAAAAAGAATAAAAGAACGTGATGCATCAATCAGACTAAAAAAATACCCACTCACCTTGGTTCATTTACTGCAACAAAAATAACTGTAAAATTAATATAAACATCATCAAAATCCTATTTAGAGAAAATTATATATATTTATGAAGATTTAAAGAACACACAGCAATTAAAAATGATAACAACTTAATTAATTTAAATAGCGGGATGATTATTGATGTATGGAATGACGTCATACAAAAAGATGAACAGATGTTATCCGATGTGGGATGATTGTTTTGTATAGAATTTTAGAGTGGTTTTTAGATGAAACCTTGTTTTCAGCCTATTATTATCCCACAACAATCCATCAATCCCAGGCACGTCAAGTTAGCATATTTCAGGGCTTGGATTAAATGCGCCTATATATGTTGCACAAGCGTTTATGATACGATTAAGGAATCGGATTACATTCTTAAGGTATCTGAACAGCAAGGTTACCAATGAAGCGAGGTAGAGAGGCTTATTACATCCTTACAAACACAAGACAACATTCTCCCAGGGTAGACCGGGGGAGAAGGATTGTGCTAAATTACATCCCATTTTTAAAATACATAGAAATATTGCCGAAGCTAATAATCTTCAACTTGTATACTGATGTAATCCCACTGTTTACAAGCTTTTAAGAAGTAATAAAAAGAAAGAAGATCGGAATTCAATGGCGGGAGTTTATTCGGTGCCTTTACACGACCGTTTTGATTCTAAGCTTGCTTATGTAGGAGCGACTATGCGCCATTTAAAACAAAGGCTCAAAGAGCACAGGTACACTATCAATAAGAACCTTGACAGCACCATGCTAGCATCATACACATGACAGCAGGAGGTTAATGTCCAATGAGATCAAGCGGCTATTATCAAGACTACAACGAACAAGCATAAATTGAAACATCTTGAGAAATTAGAAATCTTCAAACTGCATATGAGAACTGGATGTGTAAATCATAGAGACGCAGATGTGTTATCCACTGCTTGGAGATCTTTTTACAATAATTAATAATAATAACGGATAATACTGTCAATACAATTTTATTCACTTTCGTTGCTTATTATATTTAGTACGTATGTGCATTTTTTTGTTTGAATTTTATATTTATTCCATGTTTTATTTTATGTTCGATTTTCCATGTTCTATTTTGGTATAACTGAGGGAGATCATTTAAAATGATTGAAAACGTTTTTATTGTATTAAAAATCATTTGCTGGATTGATAAAGGTGTGATTTTTAACTTAAAAACTTTTATTTTTATCTTGTTATAGTTGATCTAAATATATAAAATTGCTTGTCCTGACTGACTGACTGAATGACTCACTCATTCACTCACTGATTCATCATCACCCAGAGCAGACCGCTTAACCTAAAGAGGTGAAATTTGGTAAACAGTTAGGGTACGTCATGGAAATGCTCACTAAGAAGGGATTTTTCAAAATTCCCCCGCGGGGGGGGAGAGGGAGAGGACTAAGGCTTAACCTGAACAACGGCTTCTACCGCACTATTTTAGATGCGATTTTTTGTTTTTATCTGCGTTTTAGTAGGGTATGCCATGGCAATGCACACTAAGAAGGGATTTTTCAAAATTCCCCCGCGGGGGGAGAGGAGGAGGACTAAGGCTTAACCTGAACAATGGCTTCTACTGCACTATTTTAGATGCGATTTTTTGTTTTTATCTGCGTTTTAGTAGGGTATGCCATGGCAATGCACACTAAGAAGGTATTTTTCGAAATTTCCCCGCGGGGGAGAGGGAGAGGATTTAGTCTTCATCGAGTACTTAGGTGTATTAAATTAATAACATTTCAGACATTGTTATAAATATTTTTATATATTTCGATTTTAAAAATGTTCGAACCGTTTTAAATTCGAATTTGTTATTGCATATTGATTCGATTATAGAACGATTGTAAACGTTCCAGAAAATTGATCAAATTGAAAATAGTTCGTTTGATTCTCGGCAATTCTCATCATTCTCAGCGGTAGGTGTTATATAACAATTACTATGGTTGTTGAAATACTGAATATAAATGAGGTTTGCTTGCAAAATAATAATTTTTCCTGATTATTGATTTGAATAGTGTTCAGTTTTTAAAAAAACCATTGAAATCCATATTTGTGAAGATATATGCTTTAATATGTTTGTACTGTATATTTTTACTTCAATAAAATAAATTAAAGAATCATTTTTAATTTAAGAACTGTAGAGTTAATTATTGTTTATTTATTTCATAATTAAAATATAATGTTCTAGAACTAAAAGCAGAAATTGAAAAATTGCGAAGTCAACATCAAGGTGATGATATCAAATACTTTATGGATGAAATTGCAATTTTAAAATCACAACTACAAGAGACTCAAGCCCTTTTAGACAGCAGTAAAAAGTAAGTAAATCTTTATTGTCTTTTTCTAAAATAAAGAGCAATATAAAAAAGGCATAGTGTCTACCTGTGCACCTAGTTGTGTGGTAAAAATTAAAAAGTGAATATTTTTTCAAAGCTATTTTCATTCCATAAAAAAGCTGGTGGAACCACGTTGAAAAGTACAGCCCAGGGTAAACATTTAAATAAAGGAAACTTGAAAGTTGTGGCATAAGAATACTGGAATCAGATTTGACAGTAAGACTCAACATGTGATAAAGTGCGGACCACACAGACTACAATTTCAGGAAATTTTGGATGAAGCAATGTCACCATGATAATAAATAAAAACAAGCATAATTACAGAAAAATGCTTTGAGCTGTACTTAATGCCTTAAAGTCGTTGCACTCATAATAATTTGTTGAACATTACAGCACCTTTGAGCAGTATTAGCGAAGGAACTGTAGGATACAAAGTAAAGCTCAAAGTTTTTTTATGTGACTATGCTTATTTTTCTGATCATGGTGACATTTCTTTGTCTAAAATTTCCTTTAATTGTAGTCTGTGTAATGTGCACTTAATTCACATGTTGAGTTTTACTGTCAAATCTTATGCCACAACTTTCAAAAGTGTTGTTTTTTATTTAGTTGTTTCCCCTGAGCTTTACTTTTCAACCTGGTTCTACCAGTTTTAATGAGATTTCAAGTATTTTTCAGTCATTAATAACTTCATAATAGAATAGCTTTCATGATAATTCTATATTTTCCTGACAGTCACATAATAGCTTGCAGTAACTTATACCACATAATTGACCAATAATATGTTAAATTTAAAAAATGGGCTATTATTTTATAATATTCAATATTCTAAAATAAAGCCTTCCAAAAGATCAAATAGGAGACAGTCTGCTCTTAAATGGCCTATTAAACGTATGCAGACCTCGTCGTAGGTTGCTCAGTAGCTTGGTGTTGTATTCTCTCCTGTTGTAAATCTAGGTGACAAAATGCTAATCATGTAAGTCCAAAATGATCCAACAAATTTATTCGAAATTTAAAACACCAATAATACTCATCATAGACATTAACTATTTTAAATTTCATCCAAATTAGTTCTTTGGTCATGGAGATATTAATGTTAAAGTGCTAACTTTGACACTTAATACGTATGGCAGAGCTTTACTACAGAGTGCTACTGCACTCTATAATGGATTAATTTTTCTTTCACTTGTTTTTTCGATTTCTGGTGAAATTAATATTTTTACATAAATAATTTAGAATATCTCATAAATTTACTTAAAGATATATTACTTAAAGGTATACTTTTAAAGATAAATGAATAATTATTAATGGAAAATATATTTTATATTAATTAAATTTTAAGTATAGTTTAACTTTAAAGGATTTCTATGAAAAGCATAGTAAATTTCTAACAAGTATGGCTTTTCTTTAAAAAGTAAAAAACAAAAAAAAGAAACAAAGTTATTTTTAAGAATTTGCCATATATTTTTATAAGCTGCTCAATTGCTTTTAATTATGTTAAAATATAAAAATATAAAGTATTCTCTGTAGAATTGTAATTTGTATAATTGTTGATTAAAACATATATATATAACTGTTTCCATCTTGTGTGTACTAAGAGAGCATTTTTTCCATACTCATCATGGGTTTTGAAAATTAAATTTTTTGTCAATCTTTTCATATGAATATATAATCTTGGATTCATAGTTTCATAGACCGATTTTATGATTCTTCATATATATTGCCATTTCTTTTATTTCTGTAGTATAAGCAAGGAAGGATAGCTTTCTTCCTCACTTATGCTTTTTTGCTAGGAGGACTTCATATCTATATATATATATATATAATATATATATATATATATAAATGAATGTATGTCTGTCTGTCCTTCATGCATTACTACACCATTTATCCGATGCCATGAAACTTTGGGAAGTTGTTTAATAGACTCCCGCGAAGGTTTCTGACATAGTACATTTATCCTACGATAAGTGGCGTGCATGTATATGAGCATTTCATATATAAAGTTGACATGAAGAGCGCATGCGCATAAGTTTGTTTTATTCGAACTCTTCATCTTAATGTTTGATTTTATGTTTGAATTTATATTTATGAATGATTCTGGAAGATCCAGCTTATTTTTCGAATTTAGTAAACCTGAAGATTTAGTAGTACTGTGCACTGGCTAGTGGTTGCAGTGAGTCTTAATTATCGTTATCCCGGTGTGGTAAGCAGATATCTAAAAATTTTCTGATTACAGGTAGTCCTCGGTTTACGCCGCAGTTCCGTTCCTACAAAAGCCGGTGCAATAATCGAATCGGCATAAAACGAACCCATATTTACAGTGAGGTATAGGGTTAGGTTCTACATAAGTGAAAAATAAGCAAATAATTTTGTTTATTAATACAATATAATACAAAATACATATAAATTTTTAAAGTGAATTTTATTATAAAATAAAGTGAAATGCTTTTATTAAAAAATTTTAGTTTCGGATCTCTTACATTTTTCGAAAAAAAGTATCTGTCTTTAATTGTTTACATTTTTGTTTTCTTTCATTGAGAATTTCAGAATATGGTCAAATGGATGCGATGATGCTTCTTTTTACATTTGCACTTCGCTCCCAATTATTGTCTAACTCACAAAGTTCGTCCGTTAAACTTTCCATAGTTGAAAGGATACGTTAACCCGACATAGAGCTACGGACGAGCGGAGATATTGATTGATTGACCACCAGTCACCGTAGTGCATGTATAAGGTCAGTTTGAGTGAGAAAATTGAAGGTGGCTAAGGAGAGATAGATATCGTCTGGCTAATAAAAAAGTATCATCTGGCCAAAGAGAAGTAGATTTGTCTCATTAACGATAGTTTGTGATCGCCGTAAGTGCTACTGCGTCATAAAGTGTTTTCCTAAACGAACTGATACGGGATACATTCATTGGCACTATGGATTCGGACACCATTTATTGGACTATTAAGTTTGATAACTTGACTCGTGGGTACCTAAACATTTAGTGTTTTAATATTAATTTAATGCAAATGTATACATACCCAATAATATTAAACAAAAAAAATAAATATATTCAATAAAAATCTTTGTTTAAACGAATGTATTGGGTTGTTCGGAAAGTAAGTTCGTTTTTTTTACCACTAGATGGATTAGTGGTATTTTTCCTGCAATTTTCGTTCTAAACCATATTATCATTATATATTTTGACAGCTAGTATTTTATGGCTTATTTGTAAAAAATTTTGTTTGATTTCGTGCAATTGTTTATTTTTTGTGTCTCATGAAATATGGAAGATCGAAAGCAGCATCTTTGGCATATTTTACTTTTTTATTACCAAAAAAATAAAAATGCTGTTCAAATGAGAAAAAAATCGTGTGACATGTATGGTAGAGATGTGTTGACAGAACGACAGTGCCAAAACTGGTTTACAAAATTTTTTTCTCGCAATTTCAGTATTGAAGGTGCACCACATTATGGATGGCCAATTGAAGCCAATGAAAGCAAAATAAAAGTACTGATTGAAGCAAACTGCGGAATAACAACACGTGACATCACTAAGAGATTAAATTTGTCAAACTGAACTGTTTATGAGTACTTGAAACAAATTGGTTTCGTTTCAAAGCTTGATATATGAATTCCACGAGTTCTTAAAGAGAAATGCTCTATTTGGTGGGATATTAAGGAAATTTTTTTTGGAGCTTTTATCGGACAATTTAACAGTTGATTCGGAAGTGTACTGCATTCGAGTAAGCAAATTGCGTAATATCATCAAACAGAAAAAGCCAGCCAGAATTGATAAAAAAAACAGCTGTAGTGTTTTACCATAATAATGTCAAATTTCACACAAGTTTGGTAACTCGTCAGAAACTGTTATAACTTAGATGGGATGTGCTATCACACCAAACGTATTCACCAGATCGAGCACACTCAGATTATTACTTGTTCTGGTCTGTACAATTTTTTTTAACTGTAAGACATTTACTTGAAATGACAATGTCAAAAATCACTTGGAATTTTTGACAAGTGACACTTGGATCGGTTTTTTGTAAGCAACGATCAAAACTTTTATGAATGTGAAATCGTGCTACTACCAGAAACGATGACAACAGGTATTTGACCAAAATGGTCAACATATAATTCAATAAAGTATTTATTTATCATAAGAATATTGCGTTTTTTCCCGTGGAAAAAAACGAACTTACTTTCCGAACAACCCAATACAATGTCGCGGCTCTGTAAATACGTCAACACTGAAATGAAAATCAGTCTGGCATAGGGAAAATCAGGGAATTACACCACAAAACGGCAAATTGCGTAGCGGCATTATTGTGAATCGGCGTAAATTGAGCCGATGTAAACCGAGGGCTACCTGTAGTCTCAGAAGAGAAGGGACATTCTTGCACTCAATAAAATGGGTAAGATTGGCTATAATCTAATAATCTTAATCTTCGCTATCATATATATATATATATATATATATATTCAATGAATCAGATTATCTATTTTTCAGTACAAATGATATATTTAATGTTTGTTTTGAATAATATATATATATATATTATTCAAAACGAATAATTAATACGTCCTTTGTTCTTAAAAATAAGTACTCTGATTCATTCATAATTCATACATATACAGTAGAGCATTGATTATCTGACTCAATTGGGGACTCAGGTTGGTCGGATAACTGAAAAGAATGAAAAAATACATTATTAGTATAGTATATTAGTATATCCCTTGTAATTAGTATATTAGTATATCGCTATTAACCAACTTTGCATTGAATTTTCATTGATGTTAAGCCTAACAAATTTTTTTAAAAATAATAATCATTGCTATTGTATTGTTAAAAATTATTTTAAAATTATTTTATTGCTCACAAAACAAACACTCATAAGTAGAAAATTAAGTCTCGTTTAAATACTGGCCACCCTTTCATGGTCGAACCAGTGTTGCCAGCTAAAACATGCAAAATTTTAACAAAAATAATATTAAAATAGCCAAGACATAGCCAAATATTGTAGTGCCACATCACTAGCAGACATTTGTAATTTGCCGACTAGAACGGTCAGTTAACTGATGTGACGGTTAATTGGGGGTCGGATAATCGATGCTCTACTGTATATATGTAGAAACATAGAAAATCAAAATTACAAAATAAAATGCATATAGTAATTGTTGGGAATACATTCACCTTTAAAGTTTTGTATAAAAATATGAAGAATATATTTAGAAGTAAACTTAGGAGATACTCTAGTTTGTTTAACCAAATAATTTCATTTCATCAGATATAGAAAAAAGCAGCAGTGATGAAAAGAATCCCATTATAAAATGAAACAACAGAATATTTAAAGAATGTGAAAATAATTTCATCCTAAGTAAACATAGTAAATAAATTTCTTGAATATACATTTTTAATTTAGGATATAAATATTAGTTATATATTAATTGTTTCAGATATGAAATCATTGCTGAGGTGATAAAAGTATTTTAACAAGTGTTGACTTTTAAATTAGTTTTCAATTCTATTATAGATTCATAAATGAAATTACCACTACTACTAATTAAACTACATATATTATTCTCTGCAAGTCATATAATATCCACTCAGCAGTGACTGATGGATATATCCGTCAAGGGCAATCATGTGGCAGTGGTGAACGACTGATATATCCTCAAAATTCTTTTGCAGATATCACCAAAAACTACTGCAAAAAAAATTTACATAAAAAAGGAATTATGTAACAATAAAAAAGACTTTACTATACATAACTGTTTACAAAATATTTTTCTGAAACAATAATGAGAAAAAACGCGTGGGAAAACACTTAAAAATTTTTCTACTTTTATTCTTCACTACATAGGGATAGCACCATACCTGACTAACCCACTCCGAATGGTTAAGAAAATTAAAAATTTATTTATGTATAAAATAAATTTCAGCTCGCAGTTAGGAATCCAAATTTATTGGAAATACAAATATTTTTGGAACTGTTTGACTCTAGACTTGGACCAGGAATCAATCAAATAAAAAGTTTGAAATTTANTGAAACAACAGAATATTTAAAGAATGTGAAAATAATTTCATCCTAAGTAAACATAGTAAATAAATTTCTTGAATATACATTTTTAATTTAGGATATAAATATTAGTTATATATTAATTGTTTCAGATATGAAATCATTGCTGAGGTGATAAAAGTATTTTAACAAGTGTTGACTTTTAAATTAGTTTTCAATTCTATTATAGATTCATAAATGAAATTACCACTACTACTAATTAAACTACATATATTATTCTCTGCAAGTCATATAATATCCACTCAGCAGTGACTGATGGATATATCCGTCAAGGGCAATCATGTGGCAGTGGTGAACGACTGATATATCCTCAAAATTCTTTTGCAGATATCACCAAAAACTACTGCAAAAAAAATTTACATAAAAAAGGAATTATGTAACAATAAAAAAGACTTTACTATACATAACTGTTTACAAAATATTTTTCTGAAACAATAATGAGAAAAAACGCGTGGGAAAACACTTAAAAATTTTTCTACTTTTATTCTTCACTACATAGGGATAGCACCATACCTGACTAACCCACTCCGAATGGTTAAGAAAATTAAAAATTTATTTATGTATAAAATAAATTTCAGCTCGCAGTTAGGAATCCAAATTTATTGGAAATACAAATATTTTTGGAACTGTTTGACTCTAGACTTGGACCAGGAATCAATCAAATAAAAAGTTTGAAATTTACATTGCCATGTAAAACTACAAATAATTATTGTTACTAAATATTTAATTATAAATGTAGCTAATCAATTAAGTTAATATAAATATAAAAGTAATAAATTTAAAAATTTATTTTACTGATGCAAAATTAACTTTATATATTAAAAAGTTATTTTTTAAGTGTTATAGATTGAAATATTTATTTATTATTTTTTCTCTTATTTTAGAAATTGGGAAGAAAGACTTCAACAAACAGAGAAAAGAAAAGAAGAGGAGAAATTGAAATTAAAAGTATTGTTAATAATATATTATCTAATAGTTGATAAGATAATGACATGAGAAACTAAACTTTTAATTTTCAAGATTTAATTTTTCATAAACAAATGTTTTCAGTTAATTTACTTAGACATTATTAAATTAATTATTTAGATGTAGGAACAAAACAAATATTCCATTTGAGTTCACTTAAAAATTAATTGTGACATGCATAATGTTATTATTTATATATAATCATATTGTTTATTTTTTTACCTATTTAAAAAATGGAATATTAATAAATCTGTGTGCTAAATATAAAATTATCTTATTTAGAATTTTAATAGAAAATAAATTTTAAAATTATAATTGTTCATATTTCAGAAAGTTGGTATTGCATTGAAAATGGAAGGCGTTTATCCTAGTTTAATAAATTTAAATGATGATCCTCAATTGTCAGAAACATTATTGTATGTTCTGAAGCCTGGGATTACAAAAGTTGGTAGATTAGAAGAGCAATCAACTGCAGAAATACAACTACATGGAAGATTAATAGCAAGTAATCATTGGTAAGAGCCATTAGTATTTCTTTTAATGATGGTTTTAATATTTTAAAAATATTAATGCACATATTTATTTCTTGCAGTGTTATAAAGAATGAAGACCGATTGTTAACAATAACTCCTAACAAAGATGCACTTGTATATATTAATGGTCAATTAATCATTGAAATCACCAAACTGCAACATGTAACTTTGTTTTTTTTAATTTAATATGTAAAAAAGCAAAAAAAACCAACATCAAAATTTTATCACTTTTATATAAAAAATGCCCCCTCCTTATACCAATGATAGGGTTTTTTTTAATTTAATATGGAAGAAAGCAAAAAAAACCAACATCAAAATTTTATCACTTTTATATAAAAAATGCCCCCTCCTTATACCAATGATAGGGTTCGTAATAGATTTTTTAACAGAGGAAAAAAATCTTTATTTGAAAATTATTTCATCCAGATTGAAAAACTGAAATTTTACAAATTTGCATTTTTTTTTTTTTTTTTTAAGTAAATTATTTCCAAAAGCAGCAATTTTTATAATTATCATTAGCAAATTTTATGTACTTAAAACACTTCTAGAAAAATTGTTATTGATCTATANTGGTGCAAATTCAACTACTCAAACTGTGTATACATTAATAAATACTGCACATATAACCAATATCCAGCAAGAAGAAACTACAAAGCAAACACTTTCATCCATGTTTAATGGGCATTGTCAGGCTAACTGACCTTCACAGTTTGAATTCAGCTGTTTAAAAGAACATGCTAGAAAAAGTTACTAGGAATATGTGATTGCCATCCATGTGTAAAAAGAGAGGTGACACCAGAGAAAGGAAGGGGAGAGTTGTAAGATTAAACTGACCTTCCATGCAGAGAGAAAGGACTCTAACAACTAAATTTGAACTGCAAATGTCAATTAGCCTGACGATGCCTAAAGGGCATCGTCAGACTAAGTTTAAACACAGATGAAAACATTTGCTTTCTTGTAGTTTCTTTCTGCTGGATATTGATTATACATACACAGTGTTTATTAACAATGGTGCAGTAGTTAGCTTCTGTTGTTTTTCTTTTCCATCCTCTTCTCAGCATTACAATTATTTTTTCTTATTAGGTTATATATTAGCAATTCCAGTTGAGTGTTCAATCTGCCAATAATTTTTCCCTTATCAATTTTCTCTGCATCAACATACTTTGTCATATTCCTAAATTTAAAGTTAATCTGATATTTAGATTAGTATCACAACTGTTTGTCTTACATTTCATACTATTACATTTATGCTTGATTTATTGTTCTTAATTTATATATTTGCTTATATTATAATCTTTGTCCAATTAATTATTTTGCATTTTCATATATTCCTTCTACTTTTGTTTAATTTTAATAAATTATTAATTAAGTTATTTAAAATATTTATGACCAAAATATTATCACATTTTCAACAATTTCTTTCATTTAACACAGGAATAATCAAGTTTTTTATACCTACCACCCACTTTTGTATCTTTGTTCGTAGTAAAATTTTCTAACCACCCACTGGTTCCGCAGTAAGTTAATTTAGCGCAACTGCAAAGTACTCATAATTTTTGAGTGCTGATTTAGTAAAAATATGCAGTTAAATTTATCTTTTTGTTTATATTTTGCATATGTTTATAACACAGAAATTTTTTGCCAATGCACCAAGTGTTTTTTTTATGTCAAACTGGAAAAAGTAGTTAAATCTGGCAACCCCACCACAAAACAAGCTCAAGTGATGGCCACTGTTACAGTACAACCTGCTCCACGAATGAGTCATAGATGTGTGGTGATAATGGAAAGTAGCTTTGGCATCAGACAAAACCCCTACCGACCACCACGAAAACTCAAATTTCCCACTACAGTAGTGGGCAGTAGGGACCAGTATGACCACCACTGATTTAACATCTAAAATACTTAAAACAATCACCACAATTAACTTTCATTTTGCTGCTAATGCCATTTATGGGTTTATTTTTTGCTCACTGTACATCATCTTCAAATTTAAATACTGGTATTTGGTACTTGTACTTGAAATACCTTATATACAGTAAGCTTAACTGATTCGATATAACATGGTCTTAACTGATATACAGTAAGCTGATTCAATATAACGTGGTCTGCTCGAAGCCTAAAAAAAGCTCAAAATTTACGCTGATTTAAATTATTGCGGAATTTCATTGATCCGTGTATAATACAATTATTTACGGACACAAACAAATCAGCAAAAGATGGCAATTCATCATAGCACTGTACTGTTTGTTTGTTTTGTGCAATTTTTGAAAAAAATATAACATCATGGATGCCATGGGCAATATTGACTTTGCTTGGCAAGAATTAACTGATACATGCATGAATGAAGTGTGGAAGAAGTTATGGCTGAAGGTATCCAAGAATTCTCAATGAGGAGAGCCTATCGCTGTATCATTAAGTTGACTAAATTGTCAACCTAATCGATACAGTAGGACTAGGAGATGAAGACAAGCAGGATATTGAGGAGTTACTGCAGGTTTCTGGTGAGAGCCTTACCAATAACGACATTCAAGAACTGGCAGAACAAGGACTTCATGTAGAACTGGAAAATAGTGATTCTGAAAATTAAGAACCCAAATAATTTCTCTACATATTTCCTCAATAAAAGTTTGGTAAGATAACTGAAATCGTTGATAAAATTGTAGCAAACGACCCAGATTTTGAAAGGAGTGCGAAAGGAAAACAAGGCTTTTTGGATGTGATCTTCTGCTACCAACATTTGCTTAAAGAAAGAAAAAAGCGACAAATGAAACTTCACGACTTTATTGCAAAAGAACAAGAATTTCAGAAAATCCAGGACCTTCCTCACAAAAAATGAACTTTCCATTTCTGTGTGCATATGTTTGTGTGTTATTTAACATATATTATACAAATTAATATAAAAATAAACTTAAAATAAATTTTTTTTTTATTTTTAGTTGCATGTTCCCCTATCCCTATTTACTCTATGTTAAAATGATCTTGTTTAACGCTGTTTCGCTTAGCGCTTTGTCGTCTAGGAACTCATATCCCACATTAAGTTGGGTCTTACTGTATAATACTTTAAGTAAATCTTGTTGATTTTATTTAATAATAACNGGAGGAGAACATTTTTTTAGGTTTGTTTTTACTTTTATTATTTTTTTAATATAAATAGAATATCAAGCACTTAATACAACATATTTTTGTTGTATTATCTGTATTAAATGCTTAAATTGGTGATTTTATTCACTAATTTTGTAATAATAATTAAAACCTTTGAAAGTACTAACTTGATGAGACATTTTGAATTGTTTCACTCTGTAAACTAAGATTGCAAAAAGTAATTATAAACAGAGGTAAGTGTAGATTTGGATGAAAATGAAATTTGTAACATAGTTTCATTATCATTATATTAGTATAATTTAAATATTTGCTTATTTAAAATTAGAATTATTACCATAGTTTTTTCAATTCTAAGATGCACTAAGATTTTGAAATTTAATTTTCAGATATTTTTATGGAAGGAAGAAAAAACTTTAATTTTATTAAGTTTTGTTAAAATACAATAAGTTGGAAAATAATACAGTTGCCATGAAATAGATAGTGTTCAGTAGTTACATTTACATGCTGTTCTGCTCTTCTTTTTATATACTATACAATATTTATTCGAATATAAGATGCACTGTTTTCCAGGTTTTAGTGTTGAATATAGGATGTGTCTTATATTTGATGCAAAATTTCATAATTAGCAATCTCTTATGCAATGTGTTTTATTTTTATGTCACTAATTCCATTGTATCATTTTAATTAATAATTTTATTAGACCAATATTAGTAGTAGAAAATATTTAAGAGGTCAATTTAGCTCAATCTTGTTAGTCTATTACAGTAATGTTGTTAAGACTCATAAAAAGTTGTGCAACACTGGTTCAATAAATGTTGCATTTCTGATGTTTTAAATGGCACTGAATATGGTCAGGGGAAGAATGAACATCAAATCTAGTGTTGATTAATCTAGTTTTAGTTTTAGTAAACTAAAATTAAACTAAAAATGTATGTAACAACCAGGGCTGTGGAGTCAGTAGATTTTTACATGACTCCGACTCTGACTTTTCCTTACCATCCGACTCTTACCAGTGGTGGACTTGTTAACAAAGTACGCCCAAAAATTCTGCCATCATCATGTGACCTCAGAATATAAGCTTCAATAAATATAGTTCTAATAAAGATTGAATATAGAAACTTTTTATTCCAAAGCTATAATACTCCTCTAAGTAATGATATAGTCAATATATAAATATGTATTCGATAATTTTTACTTTTCTGGCTGTTATATATAACTGAAGAAAAGTGTAGCAATTGGTCTAAAAAATGATCCCACCCCAAATTTTTGCATTTTTGGACTAAAGATACTTCGAAATGTTGAGAGATTAAAAAGATTCAGGTTTTTTTCTGTATGTACAAATGTTAGACTGTATGGGAGACATGTTTTCGAATCGGAGTCAGATGGTTTAACACAGGAGTTATTAAGCTTCAAAATTGTTGAACTAAATTGGTTGGTACACATTCTAACATCCATGTGTACAGAAAAAACCCCAAATGCTTTTGCACTTCTCTGTTTCGTGGATTCCCAAGTCCAAAAGAGTAAAAATCTGGAAAAGTCATTTTTTGACCAATCATCATTCTTTTCCTTTGTTATAGGCATATAACAGGGGTGGCCAACCTGCGGCTCGCGAGCCACATGCGGCTCTTTGAAGGATTATTTGTGGCGCTCGATAGATGTACCCGAGTTCTCTTTTCATTTTTGTGTTATATTATTTTAAAAAATTATTATCGTTCCGTATGTGTTTCAAAATGTCTTTTAAATTACTAACAACAAATATGAAAGACTAAGTGCAACGTTGTGACAAATTTCATTTCTGTCCAAGTTAAGAATGATATGACTCATCGAAAACTGCACGAATGAACATAAACAATGGCGTAATCATCCATTATCAACCGACTCCAGACCGATTTTGAATTTGTAAACTGTCATTGCAACGGACAGTTGACATTGTGCTCTGGAGGAAACAATTTGTATCACTCTTGCTACGGATATAATTTGTATTCTGGAATTTTTTGCATATCTTTTTAATACGTATTTAATTGTGGCTCGCGAAAAATTTCAAATTCTGAAAAATGGCTCGGACTATCAAGGAGCTTGGCCACCCTGGGCGTATAATGTTATAACTGCCGGGAAAGTAATAATGATGACGATTCTGATTATTTTTTAAAAATACAAAATAAAATGATTTTAAAAAACTAATTAAACATTAAAATTTGACACATCTACTGAATAAAAATGTACATAATACATGAATATATTGGGTAATATATAAGTATACAGTTACATTAAACTAAGTCAAGAATGAGAAATATAACATTTAGACTGGTAAAGAAAAAGGTTGCTTATTTTTCCAGGTTAATTAATTTATTATTTTTTTATCTCTGTTATAAACTGAATTACTCCTTACAAAAAAAATCACTTCTATTAAGTCAGCATTCACTCTGATATCATATTTAATTATTTCAAGAGTGGAAAATAAATGCTCTACTGAAACTTGGTTGGTGGCAATGCTGTGACAATCAATTCTGTATCTTGGATAATGTCTGGATAGTGCAGTATTGTCATCTTAACATTCAAACTTGAAGAGTGGTCAATGTGATTTATTTTTTCCAGTGCATAGTAAATATCATTATCAAATTTTGTAAGATTTCCTTTTCTGTTTGTACTCATATTAGAACTCAAGCATAATTTTGAGGTTAGAGACAAGTTTTATAAAAAAAACTAGCAGATTGGCCAGATGTTGCTCAGGCAAAAAGTAACAATAACGAAGATTAAGATTATTAGATTATTACCTATTTTCACTGGGTGCAAGAATTAGGTTCCTCCTCTTTCGAGACTAATTAGAGAATTTTTAGATGGGTCTGAAAGTATGTTCGAGTTTTTGCAAAAACACAAAAAAAAACCATATCTAAAATAGTACAGTAGAAATGGAGTTCTTCAGGGTAATACTTAACCCTCTCCTTCTCCTCCCGCAAGAGGAATTTCGAAAAATCCCTTCTTAGTGTACATTCTTATGACATATCCTAACTGTGTACCAAATTTTAACTTTCAACTCCTGACCATTTGAACTCTGAGCTTATTATTATTATTAACCCATCTCGATTATATTATAAGATGTGAATGAATAAAATATTCATCAAGTCCAACCACACTGGAGATATGACACATGACCTCTTCTATGTCTCTACCCTGTTGACCTTTAACTAAGAACCAAAGGTTAATAGCATTAAGGCCCTTTATACATATGCTACTGTGCCAAATTTTGTTTCTTAAACTTTACTCATTCTGAGATATTTAATATTTTAGAACAGAATAAAGAAATTAAACCAATTAGATGCCAACATGCATGCATGCAAATTTTTGCCTTTATTTGACGTTTTTTTGGGTTTGAGAGATCTCCAAACATATAGATTTTCAAAAGCTCAGATGGTCAAATGTGACACGATTCAAATACTTTTTCATTTTTTATATACATAACAAGTTGGGAAAGTAAAAAGCTTTTAGACTCTGACTAAAACACCAAAACTCTATGACTCCAACTCCAACTCCACAGCCCTGGTAACAACTAAAACTAATACTCAGGAATGTGATTAAAATAATGTTAGTGTTGTTTCAGAAGAGCAAGTGAAGAGGTTTCCAATTTCAATACCACAGAAGACAGTGATATATAACTTATTTGCAACAAATACTGAAAATTTCTATTGATGTAAATTCATCTAGAGTTGTCTATTTAAAAAAAATCTGTGGGTGTCAAATTATGATTTTTGCAATATTATTTCTTCTGCATAGTTTAAAAGACATATGGACTCTATGCAGAAATTATCACACAGGAACACTTTTCTTGACGGAAAAAGTGGATTTTTATTTTTTACAAAGGATATGCATTTTGGGCCATATGCCCCTTCAGTTCTTACTATGTATTCTATACATATTTTATTATGTATTATATGTACAGTAATACCCCGAACTTACGCGATAGGTGGGACCGAGCGGTAACCGCGTAAGTCGAATTTGCGTAAGTCGGGGTATAATTTTGCATATAAATACATACAAATAATTTTTAATTGGGGCCGGAGACTAAAGAAAACAATAATTTAGAAAAAAATGTTTAATAAAATCTTAGATAATACATATGTATAACAAATTAGGCCTATATTATTTTACAATTTTTCACATTTACTCGATTATTACGCCATAATTTTAACATTGTTTCCATCTCAGCGATAATACTGTGACGTTTACGAATGATGCTTGAATTTAAAGATTGAACATTTTTCACAGCTTTGAGAATTTTTTTTTTTCCTTTTATAATTGTTCTGACCGTCAATTCCGGTAGATCAAACTTCTTTGCCAATTCACAAATTTTAATTTTTGTATCGAAGTCTTTAATAATGGGTACATTCGTAAAGTCAAACGAGTTAAACGCATTAGTAATGAATTGTTCGAAAAGTCAAACGAAATAGGAATAACGATGACGTCATTCTCGTTTAACTCGTTCGACTTTACGAACGTACCCAATGTTAACTTTACATTCCAAAGATAAAGTTTTTCTTTTCTTGTTTGATGCAGAAGAATTAGTTCTACTTTGTTTGGATGACATAGTAGAGTCTCTCGAGTCTCCGCAGATATAACAAACACAGAAATAAATAACACAAAATAAATTGTAGCTATGTGTCGATTCCGCACGACACGTCCGAACATGTAAGCTGAACAATAGTGTGGGGAGAGTGAGTAATCAAGGATTGCGTGGTGCTCAAACAAAAGACAAATCGACGAGATTTGAAAATCGCATAACTTCGAATTCGCGTAAGTTGAGGTATTACTGTATTCTATTGGAACGTCCTATTGTAGTCATTCCAATATTGTAGAACCTGAGAAAGGCCATTAAATATAGCCGAAAATGTTAGTTTGATTAAAGAAATTGCTAAAAAAGGAGTGGAAGGTTTTATAATAATTACTTATTATGTATAACAGTAAAACTAAAAATATAAGTAATGGTGATTACTGGAATAACTAACTTGTTAAAACATGGGGTAAAACTGTAAAATAAAAATAGAAATTTTTGTTAAAAGTAGAAAAAATTGAAAACTTTAAAACCAAAAAAGACCAATTAAAAGGTCAGTTTTTATTGGTTTAAAGGTCTTTTAACCAGTTTTAACCAATTGAAAGAACAGCAAGTAATCAAGTACATATGGACTCAATAGTCTTTGAAGCATATAAGAAGCTTGATGTAAAAACTTATTTGAATATAAATAAATTTAGTTTATGAATCCCATGATATTGGTAGTTTTGTATTTTTTAGCTTTGTATGTGCTCAATTGATAATGGTCAGATGAAACTGAAAAAAGTATACACTATATAGCCAAAAGTCATGGGACACCTAATTCTTTTGGTTTGAATGGTCCAGAGCATTTTTTTAATAGGAGGTCGGGCTTCTTTTTGCTGCTACAACAGTGTTCACTCTTGTGGATAGACTTTCCATCAAGTTTTGATACACTGCTGGTGGAATTTGCCTCCATTTGTCCTTAACATGATGAGAAGTTCAAGGTGTTTTTTGGGTGAGTTGGTCTGGCATGCATTTGCACTCCAGCTCATCCCAAAGATGTTTGATGGAGTTGATGTCGGGACTTTGAGCAGGCCAGTGATTTTCCTCAAACTATGTTGTTGTAGACCTTGCTTTATGCACTGGAGCATTATCATGCTGGAACAGAAAAGGGCCAGTTCCAAATTGCTGCCACAATGTGGGAAGCATGTTGTTATCAAGAATGTCTTGGTAAACACTGGCATTCACTGCATCCTTGATCAAAACCAGTGGCCCACATCCATACCAGGAAAAACAGCCCCAGACCCTGACACTGCCATCAACAAATTTTACAGTTTGCACAATATACTCTTGAACTGATATTATTGTTAAGTAGTGTAGCTGAAAACATCTACTATATTATTAGTGCATAATACACTACATGTCTACTCATGATGACAGCTGATTGTTATTTTGAACTGCAAATACACATGCCATTAATTGTAAGATACTTCTCTGTTTTGGAGAAGTAAAAATGGGTAAAAAATGTGTTTGAATGAATGAATAGAAATGTATTTAATTAAATTATGTTAAAATATCATAGAAACAGCCAGATCCTTTATCAGGCTATTTAAAACTAATTAATTATTAAATTATTATAATTATTTAATTAGCTTTAAATAGCCCAATAAAGAAATCTGGCTGTTTGTTTGATATTTGAAGTAATTATTGAGTTGGTTGTATATGTTTTTATAAATTTTCTTACTTACAGTATTTATTTTATTTTTTATATTAATAATTAAACTTTAAATAAAAAAAATTTACTTTTAATAGTTTGGATTTGTAAACTTTTCAGAGTGAATAATCCTTTTGAAGAAGAAGTATTACCAGTTAATAGTGAAAACAGAGACTTTGAATATGCATATCAAGAATTGATTAGTGTGCAGGAATCAAAGTAATTATTTATAATTATTATCTTTATCATCTCTTATGATAGTTTTATTCAATACTATTTTTAAATAATTTTATTACAAGAATTAAGAAAATTCAACAATATGTTTTTGTATATAGATGTGATAAAAATTTCTATAATTTATGTTAAAAATTAATGTTTCAGAAGTTAAGTTATATATCCATTTTTAAAAATATAGTATGTAATATATCTATCTATAGAATTTACATATGCAGCATTACAAAATTAATTATTAAATAACAGGTTAATTTTAAGATAAATTAGATAGATTTTTAGATTTATAATAGATTATAATTGTTTTTAGTTAACAGTAAAACCTGTTTATCTAACTTATTCATGTGCCAGTTTTTATTTAACTTATATCTTTTTATATATTTTATGAAATAATTTGTATAGATATTGTTATTATTTTAATTCTGGATGATATGAATGTATAAAACTAAATAGTTCATATATTAAACTGTTATTAAAATATATTACTTTTTATAGATTACAAGAGGAAATTGGTAAATGTAGGCAGAAAAGATGTAGTGAAATTTTAGAAAAGTTTGAGAATTTGAGAGAGGAGATTGAATTATCAATGCAAAAAAGTTTTGAAAGTGTTTTAGAAAGTGAAAATGATGAACATGTATGTATTTAATTAATAATAATAATAATAATAATAATAATAATATATATATATATAAATTGAGC